TTGGCAATAAAAGCTAATGAGGAGAATTTCTGTAAGTGAATAATTACGTCCTGGATTGTGGATTGTTTTTTAATTATTATTTTGGCAACTTTGTTTAAAGATTGAAGAAGATGCTGTTAATTACACGTAACTTACTTGTTGGTACGGCGTATTTATGGGGTCAGTTTATTTGGAATTCTTGGCAAGCTGATAAGCGTGTGGTTGTCCTGTGGTGACCGACCACAGAGAGTTAACCTGCGTGCGCTGCCGATATGATTGAAAATTTTCTTTCCCGATCCGTACTTTCTGTCTCTTTGGTTCAATTTCCAGTTCTGCTGGGTCATAACTATATTTGTCAGCTGGATTTCAATAGATTAGCTCTCTTTCTTGTTTCAAGAAAGTCTTATTTTGTAGCCGACGCATGGCTGAAACGCTCTGTAATATATGTCTTGACGTGAGTTGGGTCTAAGCACCATTGGTAAACAATCTTTGTACGTGAGCAGGAAACGTAATAGCGACCCATAGCTTTTCAGGTGCCACTACATCTTGTCATTTAGTTCTCAAACTCATATTTAATTTACAAGGAAATTCTTGCTTAATCGTAGTATTTGGAAATCTGAAGGACATTTTGCATCCTTGATCTCTCCTATAAATGATTTTGTTTGAGAAGTAACATTCCGCATTCGACACAGTTTTGATTTTATCACAATATCAAACACCACGAAGTCAGTCAAATATTCCACTGTGCGTCGTACCATATCGTATTTTCGACTCTTTCAGTTGTTTTCATCTTTCCCGGAAACTTTCTTTCCGGCACAGGGTTTGATAGCACCGAGTATTACATAATCACTTGTGTACATCGGTCAAATCAAAGCTTAATAATTCCCTCTCCTTTTTTCCGGGCATTTGACACGAACTGATTTGATTTTTCCGAAAACTTTGATCAGCAGTTCAAATACCCCCCTCCGCGAGTCAAAATGTCGTTCATATGCACACTCCACTTCATGGCTCCGATCTTAGGTGATCAAATGCCCCCAACCCAGGCAAATTAAAACTGAGGTGACCATATTACCCATTTTCAGTTAAAACTACGAAACTTTCTAATGCCGAGCCTACAGACAGGCGTCAATTGACAAAATGATAATTAATTTTTCATTAATTTTAATCAAAGAAATTGAAGAAAATCAATGTTAACCAAATTGAACAAATTTTGATCACGAATCTTTAAACCATTAACCTAAAAATTAAAGGAAAATCGTATGAAGCGTTCCGTCCATTCCGATCAACTATCGTGAACTATTTCTGATTTGTATGAACTTGAATATTCAGAGTGGTTTTTGAGAGATAAAGTATCTATAAATAATGCATGAAGTTAGGCTATAAAAATTTATCCTTTCCTTTTAAGGTGCTTTAGTGAATTTTGGTTTTCCTATCGTAGACGACTGCAAGAAAACTTTCCGTTGTATTCTCATGACCGGTTGAGCTACATCAACACAACATCAGAACAACAACAAAAAATGTCGATGCTCCTCAGGAATTTGTGTAGGTAATAGCATGATTAGTAGCGATATTTGGCATAAATACCACGAGTCAGGAGCCCATCCTGCACGAGTGATATTTCAAAATTGTTATACGTAATTTCACGAGCCGTTAGGCGAGTGAAATTTGAGACAATTTTGAAATATCACGAGTGTTATTTATGCCAAATATCACGTACAAATCATGCTATTATTTGTTTATACTACAACCCCCAAGAGGTTTGTAATTTTCACATGTAGGTATTTCAAATTAAGCTGAAATACCACCGCTCTAAGCCAATCAAATTGCAGAAATTTCTCATGTAGTAGTATAAACAGATTAACTTCCTAGCGGTGTTCCTTGAACCTCCTACATCGCTCGTCATTGTGGGCTTTGGAATCTGGAATACAGCTCAAGGGATCTGAAATCCCACTAACGATTAGAATCCGGAATCCAAGTTCCTTTCTGAAAAATACTTATTTATCAGACTGGAATCCAGTTCCTAGAATCCGGAATCCACGGCGGAATCCAGAATCTCTAAGGGTGCGTTCCTTTGGGATGATCTGGATCAGGATCAGTGATCCGAGATCACTCGGATCATGGTAAATCAGTTGAGCTGACCAATCCACTCTGGCAAGGATTCATGGGTTCAGTTGATCTACCATGATCCAAGTAATCAGGAGTCACTGTTCCTGATCAGGATCATCCCAAAGGAACGCAACCTAAGACTGTCTTGGATTCTCTTACATGGGACGAACATACGATGAATCAATGGATTATTACTGAGCTATAAGGAAGACAAACAAATGGATTGCATATCGAAGCAAGTTGTGTTTTTATTTGGTCGTGAAACATATTTACCAATAAAGTTAAAATTGCATTCTTCCAAAAAAGTACATTTCGGGTACCTGTGTATCAACCCTCTTCTTCCGTCTTCAACTTTCACCCCTCCAATCTGGTGATGAACTTCGGGCCTCAGTTTGGTCTAAAAATAAATAGGTAGGGGGTGCCCGAACTCCTCTCCTGGGTGGGGGGGGGGGGGCCGCGGGCCTCCCAAGCCCCTCCCCTGGTTTCGCCACTGTGATTCCCCGTTGTCTACTCCCACTTCAGATTTTGAGGGTTAAAGTGGCTCCAAAACGGGCATTATCGGTTAAAGAGAACAAAGCAGAATCAGAAACAAAGTCATTATAAAAAACGGCATTCTTATTATTCTGATTTATATAATTTTCTTGTGAATTTCAACTTACATTGCATGTTGAGTCCTGCCTAAAGTGACTAAATCGGCAGTTTGTAGGATACGTGCACGTGAGTATAGTAGTCGTAATTGTCCGTCGGAATTCAGTTTATTGCTTTTAAACTTAAAAACAGTAAAAAATTCCAGCGAGTCATACCAAGCAATGCGACGGTCTTTCACTGTTTTAGCCTGCGTTCTTACTGCTCGTATTTTCTCTGTTGTCGTCCTCCTATACGTCTGCAAGCATGCTATTCATTGACCTTTTAGTCCTTTATATAGATAAAGTTTTGGCGTGTGAAAACAACCTTATAAAGAATAGAAAAAAGATTTATTTGCTTTGTAAAACAACATAAAGTAAAAAATACATAAACTTGCTATCTTACCTCGTTAAGTCATTGATTTAGTCAGTCAGAAGGTCGTCATTTTTTTAGCACGTGCTTTCCTTACTCTGCACGCATTGAGGACCGTTTTATTTTTCCCGCGAAAGCTAGTGCCGCGAGGAATCTAGGAACAGGCACCCAATGTTGTCACATTCAAAGTCAATAGGGAATTTAAGCATCGAGAGTTTTTTGAGAAACGTTCTTTAACCAGAAGTTAGCCTTTTGCTTTTTAATATGCCTTGACGCCACCAAATTTGTATTGCTAAGTGTTTTTACTCTTAAAGAGACGATTTGCCCCCAAATTTGTTCAAAATCACGGCTGAAGAGTGCAAACAGTCCACTTCCGGTTGATGTGCGTTGCCCAAAAACGTGGCTACTTAAGGTTCTCCTGAAAATAATGACAAACTAGAACCACTACGTGGAACTTACCGGGACCCAGTGGGACATGGGATTGCATAGCTATAGTTTACCTCTCGCACCCCTCCACCCTCCTCTGTGGAGGCTAATACTTAGTCTATATTAACTACCGTTTAACTCATGCAGAAGAAAAGCAACAAAATGCATGAGAAAGGAGGATGTTGTTGTAAGTTTGTTCAGTGTTATGACAGCTAACGGTCTGTTTTATAGTAGTGTTTTTACACTGTGATGTCAGTAAGTGTGATCTGTATAAGGTTTTTATTTGTTTTTAAGTTTGAGTGAAAGAGCGAAAATCAATGACAGTTTGGGGTTGAATGGTAATGACGAAGTTTGCAAAGAAGTTTGTTACAGAATTATCACAATTTTGCCTACACGGTCTGCATTACACTTCTCATAGAACAAACATGCATGGTCATGGAGAGCCTGTAGTGTTGAAGAATCCCAGTAAGTGCATTATTTGATGACAGAGAAACAAACTGCATATATGGACAGAATAAAATGCTTATTTATTGATGACTAAGTATCATTTGTTAATTCACTGCACACTGAAATGGAGCCATTTGATTGTAAGGCAGTGGTTGATACATAGTGGTATTCATCGATATGACCTATAGTAATTGTAGAGGAAGTATTTCTTTCCTGAACTGGGTAAACAGTAGTAAGTGGTGCAAAGCCTTGATTAGATTCTACTATTTGTATAGTAACATTTAATGCATCTGCAACTGCTTGAATGATAAGTGCATCAGCCCATGTACCTTGAATACACATATTATTCAGATATCTTAGCCATGAATTTTTGGTACTGCTCTCAATAAATCTCTCTGGGTTGTCTCTCATAAATTGAACCCCAGCAGTACGTATATGCATATCATGGTTGCTATTGCCATATAATTGATGTGATACAGATCTTAAGAAACAATCACCTGCACCGTCAACAGTAGCCTGCGTAGCTGGCGGTATTGTGTAGTAGTCGAGTGAGATTTGGCGGCGGAGCCGTTGTAATATAGTCGAGTGAGATTTGACGGCGGAGCCGTCACGAGCGGCGAAGCCGCGAGAAATACCGCCTGCCAGAGAACCATGATTTTTCGAATGCCGCCCACTTTTGTCACGTTAGCTGATCCCAATTAGGGAAATAAGCGTTGACAGGCTAAACACGACTCCTACGCTCGTGACAATGTGAAACGTGACCTTGTGAGTTTGCTTGAACAGAGGTTTTTTTATTTTCTCGGCTCTCGCTCGAAGGTTACTAGCACTACACAGTGCATGTATCATTCTAAACTTTGACTGAGTAAATCTTTTTTTGCAACACTAGGCTTAACATTAAAAGGTCATGAAGCTGGTTTGCTTATACATGCATACTGAGTAACCATTTCCGGTGGTTTATTCTTCTGTAGGTGTTCCTGATAGGATTTGATCTCAGATGCAGTTGTAAAGTGTTTTAATTTTCTTTGACCTTTGTTTCTTACGGCTAGATTAAGACAATTCCAGCGCTGTGAAGTTTAAAGACGCCATTTCGGCAATTTGGTCATCAATTATGCTCTTTCTAAAGCGGAAATCACAATCACTTTACATGTACGTCTTCTCCAGTTTGCCATCTGCTCCCTAAATTGGGAAATATACGCGAAGGCTTATCTAACATGATTGACATATGTATGGCCCTCGACCAATCCGTTCCCCGCACACTGGTGTGCGGACCATTCAAAATACCGGGGTTTTCTGGCAGGCGGTATTTCAACCGCCTCGTCCCTACTCCTTTTTTTTGGAACACGGCTCCGCCGTCAAAACTTTCTCGCACCCACACAATACCGCCAGCTACGCAGGCTACGTCAACATCTATTGATTGTAAACCAAGTTCACCTAATCTTGACTGCATCAAATTCTCAAAGGAAATAGGAGAGATCAACTGCATTGTTGAGCTGTGATTTTGCATAAAAGGTCTAATTATTACTATATGAAGGAAGGATTTTTTTGGGTCTGACATTTTGGCCAAAAGGGATTTTTTTGGGTCTATGAAAGGGATTTTTTTGGGTCGCGAAAACAACACAGGGATTTTTTTGGTTATTATATTTTTCATCAGCTCAAATCAACAATAACATAAGCGCAATTTACTGCTTGTGTGGTATTACTCGGGATATTTCTGAGATTGTAATCTATTTGAAAAGTAATTACCGGCACTCCAGGCGCATCTAATCCAGAGAGAAATATTCAATAGGTCACGTAATTCAAGGCCTTTCAAGCTAGTCATCAAGACCACAATGGAAACATTGTATACAAAGTAAACATTTTATGAATTAGATGTTTACCCGCTGATATATATCTATTATCAAATGATCACGTTGCTAGGTAAAAATAAAGGCAAGGAAAACTGATTTTGTAAACTAAACTCAAACCGGGAGTCAATGCTGTTGAGTTCCAGCAAGAGCTAAGAGGTCCAGTCAGTTGTGATCCCATTTTTGTTGTATGAAGAAGCTTGCCAAAGTGGTTTTATGAACCCATACAATGATGTGTCGCTGACTCAGTTACTTCAGAAGATAAATAATAAAATTTGCAAAAACACTGAGGGATTTTTTTGGGTATGCTAAAAAAAGTGGGGTTTTTTTTGGGTAGAAAAATTTTTAAGTTGGGGTTTTTTTTGTTTAAAAAAAAGAACCTTTGCGGGCCCCCCCCCCCCCCCCCCCCATCAATAAAATATGTGAGTGGGGCCCCTGAGCTTCGGTATGTCAATCGTTGAAATCTTTTTGAAGACAAATTTCTTCAACATGCTAATCTTCTTGTTGAGACCTCTTAGAAACAGCAGTGGAATTCTGCTCGGTTCACGAGCACGTCTAGATCGCCTTGTAGCACGTATTTTAAGATGATATAAAGTTAGCTTTGATAAGTGTTCGCTTTAATTCTCGATAAATTTTACGATGGAAGGTTCACTCAATGTAGATAGCTTTGATAAGTCGCTTTTATTCTCGATAAGTTTCACGATGGAAGGTTCACTCTTAAGTGATCGCTCGTAAATTTGTCTCTCCAAATATTCACTCTTTTTTTTTCGCTCATAAACTAGTGAATCGTAAAGGTTGGGGAACGTGTCGTTCCCCAAAAGCTATAATCTTTCTCTTGACTGTCCTCCATACCTCGTGCTTTTCAAAACGGCGGATAAGATTTCAATGAGCCAGCGATATATTTCAGTCAGCGGTATATCCCTAACAATGTAACGTTGAAAAAACGACAGAAACCGTCTGCATTTTAAGACCGGTGCCAGCCCTCGGCTTGGCCCGGGTAAAAATGGAATTTATTCACCTGCCATGAAGGTAATTTCCAACACTATTTTGTTTTTTTATTCTTTTGCGCGGAGCCCTCATCAAAATTGAGCGCGGGTGTCAAACGCAATAGCGCAATTATTTCGATGAAACCACCCCACTACTGGAAAAGTTCAGAAGGTATCTACAATAGTTGCGTTCTCCTACGCCGATTATAGCAAACTTAACAGCAATTGGCACACGTACATCAACCCACGGCCTGACCAGTACATAACGCATGTGCAAAGCCGTATCACCCGGGTGTTGGCAGACAGCTGTTTCGACCCAGGGGCGTCAACGCTCCTCCCCACTAAGGAGCGTTGCGTGACGACACTAAAAACGGCTGTGTAGCAGACTATCCTTATTAGGGATCATCAGAATATGAAACATCAGCAAGTGCACAGCGACAAACCAATCAGCATGATATAACCGTCTGACCAGTGAACCGCGGACTCTAGCTCCTGGAATAGTTTCCATGTCAAGAGGCTGCCTATTTTACTTAAAGGCTCGCAGTTGGAAGGGTTATGGATTACTTTCACATTGAAAATCTTGCTTCGATTCCCAGGCATGCACGAACCATATTGCGTTCACATAAGCTCATATGGGTTTCAGCACTCCCATTCCTCATGTGCTGGTTTCATTACTCAGTTGAAGTACTCGTCACTGTTAGAACTTATATTTACTATTCATCTCCCTCATAAATCGCGAAAGCTAATGAACAAGAAATAGGCATGAAAATGTTTATTTTCCTGATTCCATTTAGCGCGTTTTACGAGTAGTCGAGAAACGCGAAACGAGTAGTGCAAAATCCCGCGCGCGAGACGCACGCGCCAATCAAGAGACTGGGTTCTCAACTAAACCAATATGGCGACGGATTATTGACCAGATAGAACACGTGTGTAGTAAATTGGATCTAAAATAACATAGTTAGACTTCTGGAACTCGGATTTGAGCTTCAACAGTTCTTTTACTTACTCGTCAACACTTGGCTTTCTTCATGATCTAAAAATTCACGCACGTGACATGGCAGAAGTGAAAAATCTGACACGGATCTTGAGAGGTAAGTTTATGTTTGATTAGCTTAAGTTAACTTAAGCTTAAATTTAAGATTCTTCCGCAGGAAACTATGGTCTCATAAGCAAGTAATATTGGTAATGGTAATTAAAGGATTAAGCCTATGGTTTGAATCATCGATCAAGTAAATCCAGGAGATCTGGTATAAATTAAGGTCAAACATGAAATTTGTCAGGTACAGGATACACGTCACAGGTCACAGGTCATGATCACCAGTGCAGATCATTGCTCTGTTGATAAATAACTGAAATATATGACTGAAATAAGCTAAAACTCTATTTCGGATTTTGATTCCTCATGGAGAGAGTTTACATTTATGTTGTCGACCTTTTGCGTCGAAATAATATTTAATATATTTAAATATTATATTTAATATATAAATATTTACACGTAGTTGCAGTGACGTCATTGATTGTGATGTCGAGCTGCATTAAGGTTTCCAAGCAACATAGCTTCCACTGGGTGCAATGAAAGGCTGATATGTTTACTTCCTGTAAAGATACGCATCATTTTAAGACACTTGTTTTTAATAATCTTCCAACTCTCTAGGAATACAAGCTCCGGGTCACAGAGGAACATGTGCTCGAGTGCATGCACTGTGCTTGTGCAAAGTTGATTATGTGATACTTCCTCTGTGAAAAAATGATTGTTTAAAATGTTTACAGCTGGTTAATCGTGACCAATTCTCCTCATGCAAATGTAGGGAAAAGCAACTCTACAAGGCCAACAATAAGAGACTTTGCGGCAGTTTATGAGAAACTTATCGGCTGTTGGCCATAATATATGCTTCACACGCAATGAAATGAGTTAAAGTAGCACTTTAACCATCGACTCTTGGCTAAGGTATTTTTTTTCTTTACCGGAGCTGTCCCTAGATTACAGGTTCGTTTTGCAGAAAATATGGGAAGAAAATAATGCTTAAAAAAACGTTAGCCATATTCCTTTGCTTATGGATTCTTTTAATGCACATATATCGATCACAGAGGTATTTTAGAGAACGCTGAAGGGCCGCTTAATGCCAAATGACTCTGATGTTTAGTGATAAGGGTTAGGAAACAGTGTGAATCAGGTTCCATTGAAGGTCCTAGTACCTGGGTAAAGTTGCCTCAAGGAACTGCATCACCAAAATGTGTAAACTCTTCACAGATCTCGGCTCATAAACTTAACCAAAATTAGTATTCACCAAAACAGTGGATAGCAAATTTTGTGCGTTCTGATTGGCTCCTGTAACTCAGAATATCCTTAGATATTAACTGTTTTGGGATGGGATTCAAAATGGCTGAAACGAAAGATAAAATTTTTGTGGTAGATGAAGCAGCTGTACATGTAGTGCTTCTCCTTTACCCTTTTTGCAGTTTGAAGGGTGGCAAGATGAGAAGTGTGTATATTGAAAAGTTTCAGTAGGCTTGAAATGTGTTTGCAAGTCAAGTATTTTATGAGTTGAAAGGTGAGGTCCCTTAAAAACCCGTAGTTACTAAAACAAGGAATGACCTACAATGACCTACAATGACCTACAATGATCTACAATGACCTACAATGAGCTACTATGACCGAACGTGTAATCCCTGTAATGAGCTAAAAGGAAGATTTTAGAAAAAGACAAAAAAAAAAAAAGATCAGGGGACATGTGTGCATAAACGTAACGCGTTTAGTCTACTGCATGACAGCCCATTTAACGATGACAGCATCTCTGATTATTACGCTTGGAGATAAATTTACAGTGTAACAATATATGTATGATGATACTGTGACTTTTGTCCAAACCATCCCTTGCAACTTTTCGCATTAGTTTTATTTTGTCTTGTCTTTTTTTCAAACAAATTGAACAAATACAGTCACCCCAGCAGTCGATCCGGGGGGATCTTCAAGGGACGTAAGGGTAGAGATGAACAAAGGAGGCCTTCAAATTCTGACCCTGTTCAAAAGAAAAATTGTTCATTTTTTTTAAGTACCCTGGCCTGTATAAGACATCATAAGACCCTTTAAATGGCTTTCGGTCCAACAGGATGCTCTGTTTGTAATGCTAAATAGTAAAATCCATATCCTGCTCAGCGGCCCATACCCATCTAGGCCAAATGAGGAAGTACCTGCATGACTTCCGTCAATACAGGGTATAATAGTGCTATACCAGTAAAAATGCGATTGCAATAATCTATTTTCAAGTTTCTCAAGTTACCTGAGATCAGGCACAATTTTTGTTTTGCCTTTTCAAAATGTGCTTGGCAATTTAATACTATGAGCCTAGTGTCACATCCAAGCGTGACACAAGACAAACATCAGTGTCTGTCATTTTGTAGCTCATTGTAGGACTTTAACTTTAACTCATTTAGCTCATAGTAGCTCATTGTAGCTCGTAGTAGCTCATCGTAGATCATTGTAGGTCATTGTAGGTTATTCCTTGTTTTAGTAACTACGACACATGTCCCCTGGTCTTTTTTTTTTGTCTTTTTCTAAAATCTTCATTTTAGCTCATTACAGGGGTTACACGTTCGGTCATTGTAGCTCATTGTAGGTCATTGTAGATCATTGTAGATCATTGTAGGTCATTGTAGGTCATTGTAGATCATTGTAGGTCATTGTACATCATTGTAGGTCATAATTTGTAGATCATTGTAGGTCATTCCTTGTTTTAGTATTAAACTACGCTTAAAAACCTCATTATCAAGAAAAACAGTGCATTCGGACGATTTTATTTCACAAGTAAACTTGATATTTGTAGGGTGGAATGTGTTAGTGAAGTCAACAAAATTGTAAACTTCTTTGGTTGAAATGTCCCACAGTGAAAAGATATCATCAACAACGAGTGATTAGCAGTCATTTATCTATGTCTGCCATAAAAATAACAGAGAAAGCAACTGCCATCTTAGTTCCCATAGTGATGCCTTGTGTTTGTATGAAGTGTCTTTCATTAAATTTGAAATAATTCTCTTTGAGCATGAGCGGTAAAAGCTTCCGTAATCGTTTGTGGGAATTGGCAAATTATGCTCGTAGTGCTTTTCATAATGATGGCAAATAATGTGAATACCCTCTGTTTGAGGGATGTTTGTGTAGTCAGGTAAGTCACATGTCGAGTGGCTAAAACTACATCGTTAGAGATTTGCATGTTTTCAATAAAGTTGATGAAATCGGTAGTGTCTTTCAAATATGACACCTGTTTTTGTGTGATAAGTTGTAATAGTGAGTCAACAAAACTGGAGATATGCTCACTAGGGCCGCTACTACCAGAAAAGATTGGTCTGCAGCTGACTGGTATTTTCTTATGGATTTTTGTCAGCGTGTAAAATTCTGGTATGCGTTTTTGGTTAAGGCCGATTGTTAACCATTTGATTCATTGTGTCAACATTGCCTGGAAGGGATAGTTCGTTGACTATTCAATTCACTTTTTGGGCAGTGTTTAGCACAATAGGATTTGTAAGAGGCTTGTAGAATTTATCATCAGATAATTGTTGTGAGCCTTCTTCTATTTTTGTGACGGTGTTCATAGTTCATAGTGTAGTTGTTCCTTTATCAGCTTTTTAAAGATTGATTTTGCTATTACCTTCAAGTGAGCCGATAGCTTTTCTCTTGTTCGCTGAGATATTACAATCATTATGTATCTAAAGGAGCATAGTGAAATTATTGAAATCCTTTAATAAGGATTTATTAGAGCTAGGAACAGGAGGGGTTGGTATAAATTTAAGACCTTTAAGTCTGGAGAGCGTTTCTTATTTATCTGACCCTTTTTAATATAATTATCGACTTTTTATGAAATCCTTTGAGTCAAGAAAAGACACACCAGTATACTGTTGAACTTGTTTATTTACATTGACTGCTTCACTGTCTTTACAAAACATTTTCTGTAGCTCAGATAGTTGAGCTTGCATGGAGGCGAGATTACAAGTTTGCTGAACTTTCTTAATAGGTGCAGTTTTCTACGTCCTGGACCTGGGTCTGGCTCTGTTAGTGGTGATAAATGGTCCATGAAAATTTTTAACTGCTTGCAAAATTTAAACGAGTGCTCGCTTGCTTGGCTCCCAAAATTTTTGCAGTTGCTCGCAAGCTCACTTTCTTGTCAGTATATTGCTTGAAATTTTGTAAATCCTTGTTTTGGTTAAAGTAAATGTAATTCTGTATGGTGCTTATTTCTATAAATATGGCTCAAGTTCAGTGGAAATGCAGGCGATAAATGACAATGATAAATAATAAATTAGCTAATCTAGCTTATATGGTTATACATGGTTGTTCTTCTTGTGACCTTTGCTTTCTAATCTGTACAAACTTGGCGTGATGAAGTGAAGCGAAAATGTGACGTCATTTGGCATCAAACCCAACTGTAATTGGTTAGACCTCGATAAGGTGTCACTCAAACTGTACTATGAAATTAAAAATTGGACTAGCACAAAATATTTTGTACCAGTTTAATATATTCTGTATTGGTACAAAAACAAATTGTACCAAAGTGCAAACTGAACTACAACAGATACAGGTCTTGTAGTAACTGCTGTTGGGCCTGGATTAAGCCTCATTGTTAGCTGTTACATGGACATGTAAGTTCTTTTTCTGCTGTTTTATCATCAGCATTAATAGTTCTGCATTGGCTGGGCGACCGTTCTGGTCCAAGTTGGTCTGGAATTCTCTGTCGAACTGTACAATAGGTATATGTGGTCTCAGCCTGTATTGTAAACCATATGCATATGGGCATGTAGAGTTCTTTGTGTGTTCCCTCAGGACTTGTAATGACCTTTTGCATTTGGCTCGTCTGGTTTCCAGCGTAAGAAGTCGATTGCGGATGGTTTTGGTACCCTCTGTCTGATATGTTTTTGGTTTCTTGGCGGCTGGAGCCCTGTGAGTCTGGAATCACTGTTTCTGGACTGTCAGGATCACGTGATCACTTGGATGACTTGATCGGTGATATTGTGGGAGCACTGCTATCCGCCATACTTCTTAAAATGGCAATCATCTCCTGGATGGTCAGAAGCTGTTTGTTGTGCCATGGCAGAGTTCCAAATACAACTGTTTGAAGCTAGTACAAGATGCAAGACCAGTTTCAGAACCAAAATGTTGGATCCTTTGTCAGTTGCTTTTATAGCTTTTTTCAAAGAGCTCAGGAAGAGAGCTGGTACGTGTATACTTTAGCTAAAACTCTATTTCGGATTTTGATTCCTCATGGAGAGAGTTCATAATGTCAGTTGTGCAATGTGCTTAGAGTGCACATGCATAATGTCAGTTGTGCAATGTGCATAGAGTGCACATGTGTAATGTCTGTTGTGCAATGTGCATAGAGTGTGCATAATGTCAGATGTGCAATGTGCATAGAGTGTGCATAATGTCAGATGTGCAATGTGCTTAGAGTGTGCATTATGTCAGTTGTGCAATGTGCATAGAGTGCACATGCATAATGTCAGTTGTGCAATGTGCATAGAGTGCACATGTACAATGTCTGTTGTGCAACGTGCATAGAGTGTGCATAATGTCAGATGTGCAATGTGCATAGAGTGCGTAATGTCAGTTGTGCAATGTGCATAGAGTGTGCATAATGTCATTTGTGGAAAGTGCCTGGATTTGGATTGCTACCACCCCAAAAATAATGTTTGATTGCTATAACTTCTTTCCTGGGGAATATACTTTAGAGACTATTAATGTAAAAGACCTTGTAAGTTTGTGCCTTTTATAGCCCGAATGAAGGAGATGCCATAAGTTTAGAAGACTTTGAGAGATCACTCCAACAGTTGGTGGTAATACATGTACCTCATCACATAATTATCTGGATAGTAGGAGACATACACGTTGTAAACTTCCCTGGATTTGACTGGAAGCACAATTGCCTATTTCCAATGTGTCGTTTCCCTGAGCTAACCTGAAAATTTACTGATTGTCTTGATGATCATGGCTTAGTCTAACTTATAAGCAATCTTATGCGGGCTAATTACATGTAATGTCTTAGACTTTTTATAACTAACAACAACAGTCTTATCATCAAGATTCAAGTCATCCGAGGTATTAGTGATCATGATGCTGTGTTTGTTGAGGGTATTAATATCAAAGCAACACTTAACAAACAAAATTCCAGGATGGTTGCCTTGTATCGAAAAACCGAGTGGGATGCCTTAAAGAACAGATGTAGACTCTGTCGTGCATTCTACTGCCTGTGATCTGTCAATAAATGATTTTTTTGAAGAGCTCAGGAAGAGAGCTGATATATGTATACTTAAGCTAAAACTCTATTTCGGATTTTCATTCCTTATGGAGAGAGTTCATAATGTCAGTTGTGGAATGTGTGTAGAGTGTGCTTAATGTCAGTTGTGGAATGTGCGTTGATTTGGATTGCTACCACCCCAAATGTTTGGTTGCTATAACTTCTTTCCCTGGGAATATACTTTAGAGACTAAGTGTGAAATCCTCTTGGTTAATATCAACATACAGTACATGTAGTGGGGTGTAAGACCTTGTAAGTTTGTGCCTTTTATAACCTGAATGAAGGAGATGCCATAAGTTTAAAAAACTTTGAGAGATTACTCCAACAGATTGGTGGCTATACCTCATGACATAATTATCTGGATAGCAAGAGACATAAACTTCCCTGGATTTGACTGGAAGCACAATTGCCTATTTCCAATGTATCGTTACCCAGAGCTAACCTGAAAATTCGCTGATTGTCTTGACGACCATAGCTTAGTCTAACTTATAACCAGGTTAACCAGTCAGGGTAACTAATGTCTTAGACTTGTTTATAACTAACAACAGTTTATCATTAAGACTCAAGTCATCCAAAGTATTAGTGATGATGATACTGTGTTTGCTGAGGGTATAAAATCAAAGTAACACTCAACAAACAAAAATGCAGGATGGTTGCCTTGCATAGAAAAACAGACTGGGATGCCTTAAAGAACACATGTAGACTGTGTCGTGCATTCTACTGCCCGTGATCTGTCAATAAATGATATTATTTGTGGTTTAGTTTTCAAGAGAAATTGACTTCTGGTATCAAGCGATTTATTCCACATACAAGCACAAGAAAATCTTAACCCTAACAGTACGCCTAACCGTACGCCATCTATGAATGCCACCCAGTTCAACAACAACTGCTGGTATTGCTAAGCAATTATAAACAACCTTACGCCACACAAGGCCTGATGGTCGTTATCTAATAGTCCCCTTGGAGCTCTCTCCTTAGTAATAGATAATCCCTATCATCTCACCAAGTACCAGAGGACTGGAAAAAAGCCTTGGTAACACCCATCTTTAAGAAAGGTGATAGTGACAGTCTGGCAAACTGCAGACATTTCCCTGTATCTGTAGTAAATTATTCATTTTGTTTGTTTTATGGACTATTGTCAGGGTTAGGTTCATTGTTAAGGATGTTTTGTTTTCTTTGATTAAGACAGATGGGCTGATAAATTATATTACACCAGAGATCTTGTGAGCCTATAACTTCCACTAGGTACAATGAAAGGCTGATAGTGTTTATTTTCTCTGTGAAAAAAAAAATGTTTAAAGACTTTGCATCAGTGTGGAAGACAATCTGTTGTCAGCCTTAATCTATTCTTCAAATGCGACGAAATGTGTTAAAGTAGGGAAAGTTCTAACAGAAGTTGAAACATGTTAATTTAGTTTTTGTCAATTTGATTTTCTTTCAGTAATGGACTGCTTTGTGTCACAGATTTTGGAATCTTGACGAAAAGGAACAGCATGGCAACCTGAGAGACAATGTAATACAACCAGAAAACAAGATCAGAAAGAAAAAGCAGCCCTGGGCACCAGGTAAAAAACTCTTCAATTGTTTTTTCATTCATAGTAACACAGTGTATGCTATGTATTTACCCTAGTGATATGTGTTCCCTTACCTGGGAAACAGAAAACCCTAGTGATATGTGTTCCCCAACCTGGGAAACACAAAACCCTACTGATATGTGTTCCGCTACCTAGGAAACACATATGCCTAGTGATATGTGTTCCCCTACCTGGGAAACACAAAACCCTAGTGATATGTGTTCCCCTACCTGGGAAACACAAAGCCCTAGTGATATGTGTTTCCCTACCTGGGAAACACAAAACCCTAGTGATATGTGTTCCCTTACCTGGGAAACAAAAAACCCTAGTGATATGTGTTCCCTTACCTGGGAAACACAAAACCCTAGTGATATGTGTTCCCCTACCTGGGAAACACAAAATCTTAGTGATATGTGTTCCCCTTCCTGGGAAACACAAAACCCAAGTGATAAGTGTTCCCCTACCTAAGAAACACAAAACCCTAGTGATATGTGTTCCCCTGCTTGGGAAACACAAAACACTAGTGATATGTGTTCACCTACCTGGTAAACACAAAAGCCTAGTGATATGTGTTCCCTTACCTGGAAAACACATATCCCTAGTGATATGTGTTCCCTACCTGGGAAACACATATCCCTAGTGATATGTGTTCCCGTACGTGGGAAACACAAACCCCTAGTGATATGTGTTCCCCTACCTGGGAACCACATATCCCTAGTGATATGTGTTCCCCTACCTGGGAAACACAAAACCCTAGTGATATGTGTTACCCTTCCTGGGAATCACAAAACTTTAGTGATATGTGTTCCCTTACCTAGGAAACACAAAACCCTAGTGATATGTGTTCCCCTACCTGGGAAACACATATCCCTAGTGATATGTGTTCCCGTACGTGGGAAACACAAACCCCTAGTGATATGTGTTCCTCTACCTGGGAAACACAAAACCCTAGTGACATGTGTTACCCTTCCTGGGAATCACAAAACTTTAGTGATATGTGTTCCCTTACCTAGGAAACACAAAACCCTAGTGATATGTGTTCCCCTACCTGGGAAACACATATCCCTAGTGATATGTGTTCCCGTACGTGGGAAACACAAACCCCTAGTGATATGTGTTCCTCTACCTGGGAAACACAAAACCCTAGTGACATGTGTTACCCTTCCTGGGAATCACAAAACTTTAGTGATATGTGTTCCCTTACCTAGGAAACACAAAACCCTAGTGATATGTGTTCCCCTACCTGGGAAACACATATCCCTAGTGATATGTGTTCCCGTACGTGGGAAACACAAACCCCTAGTGATATGTGTTCCTCTACCTGGGAAACACAAAACCCTAGTGACATGTGTTCCCTTTCCTGGGAATCACAAAACTTTAGTGATATGTGTTCCCTTACCTAGGAAACACAAAACCCTAGTGATATGTGTTCCCCTACCTGGGAAACACAAATCCCTAGTGATATGTGTTCCCCTTCCCTTGAAACACATATCCTTAGTCATATGGGTTCCCCTACCTGGGAAACACATATCCCTGGTGATATGTGTTCCCCTACCCAGGAAACACATATCTCTAGTGATATGTGATCCCCTTCCCAGGAAACACATATCCCTAGTGATGTATGCTCCTCTACCCAGGAAACACATATCCCTAGTGGTATGTGTTCCCCTACCCAGGAAACACATATCCCTACTGATATGTGTTCCCCTACCTGGGAAACACATATCCCTAGTGATATGTGTTCCCCTGCCTGGGAAACAGATATACTTTTTTAAGTTTAGAAAACTTTGAGAGATCACCTCAACAGATTGGTGGCAATACTTCATCACATAATTATCTGGATAGCAAGAGACATAAACTTTCTACTGCCTGTGATCGGTCAATAAATGATTATTTGTTGTCTAGTTTTTCAGAAACAGACTTTGCATCAGTTTGCAAGACATCTGCTGTTAGTCTTAATCCATTCTGTAAATGCAGTGAAATGTGTTAAAGTAGTTAAAGTTCTAACAGAAGTTGAAACATGTTAATTTAGTTTTTGTCAATTTGATTTTCTTTCAGTAATGGACTGCTTTGTGTCACAGATTTTGGAATCTTGACGAAAAGGAATAGAATGGCAACTGAGAGACAATGTAATACGATCAGAAAATAAGATCAGCAAGAAAAAGCAGCCCTAGGGACAAGGTAAAAAACTCTTCAATTGTTTTTTCTTTTACAGTAACACAGTGTCTTTACCAGTATTTTTGACATACCATATTTAGTTGATTCAGGTGACTCCAACTTAATTGTAAGCAAATTTTAGCATTTTTCTAACCTGTTTGCCTCACGTCAATTTATTTATCAGATAATTCTTGATTTGCTATATAATATTATTATATACACAGAAACATGTAGATTGTTATTGTTTGAATAGTGTTTTAACTGAAAAACTGACAATTTGATTATTTAACTGACTTGCTAACAGTTTAAATGGTTGACTGACAATCAAATTCCTTCCTCCCTGGGACAACAAAGGTGTAAAATGCCTGGGGTATGCCTCGGGAGGGGGTTGGGGGGGGGGAGGTTGAAGCATAGATTTGACTGATACAATGTAGATACATGTAGCTGAGATAAACAGTTTCCCCTTAAGCTAAAACTCTATTTCGGATTTTGATTGTTTGTTGAGAGAGTTTATAATGTCAGTTGTGGAATGAGCGTAGAATGTGCTTAATGTCAGTTGTGGAATGTGTATGGATTTGGATTGCTACCACACCAAATGTTTGGTTGCTATAACTTCTTTCCCTGGGAATATACTTCAGAGGCTGAGTGTGAAATCCTGTGTACAGGTAATTGGGTGTAAGACCTTGTACGTTTGTGCCTTTTATAACCTGAATGAAGGAGACGCCAGATGTTTAGAAAACTTTGAGAGATCACTCTAACAGATTGGTGGCTATAGCTCATCACATAATTTTCTGGACAGCAAGAGACATAAACTTCCCTGGATTTGATTGGAAGGACAATTGCCTATTTCCAATGTGTCGTTTCGCAGTGCCAACCTGAAAACTGGCTGATTGTCTTGACGATCGTGGCTTAGTCTAACTTATAACCAATCTTGCATGGGGGTAATTAATGTCTTAGACCTTTTTTATAACTAACAACAACCTTATCATCAAGACTCAAGTCATCCGAGGTATTAGTGATCATGATGCTGTGTTTGTTGAGGGTATAAGTATCACAGCAACACTCAAGAAACAAAAACGCAGGATGGTTGCCTTGTATAGAAAAACAAACTGGGATGCCTTAAAGGACACAAAGTCATGTAGACTCTGTCGACCTGTCGTGCATTCTACTGCCTGTGATCTGTCAATAAATGATTATTTGTGGTCTAGTTTTCGAGATAATTGACTTCTAGTATCAAGCGATTTATACCACATACAAGCACAAAAAAATCTGTGCGACAGGGTCTTCAACCATACCCCTAACTGGCGTGATGGTCCTTCTCTAATAGTCCTCTGGGATCTCTCTCCTTAGTAATAGATAATCCCTATCATCCCACCAAGTACCAGAGGACTGGAAAAAAGCCTTGGTAACACCCTTCTTTAAGAAAGGTGATAGTGACAGTCTGGCAAACTGCTGACATTTCCTTGTATCTGCAGTAAATTATTCATTTTGTTCGTTTTATATACTATGGTCAGGGTTAGGTTCATTGTTAAGGATGTTTTGTTTTCTTTGATTAAGTCAGCTGGGAGTAATAAATTACATTACATGAGAGATCTTGTGAGCCCATAACTTTTACTGGGTACAATGAAAGGCTGATAGTGTTTATTTTCTCTGTGAAAAAAAATGCTTAAAATGTTTACAGTTTCTGAAATGCCAACCAATTCTCCTCATTCAAATGCGGGAAACTGCAACTCTACAACGCTGTCAAAAACAGACTTTGCATCAGTGTGCAAGACATCTGGTGTTAGCCTTAATCTATTCTTCAAATGCGATGAAATGCGTTAAAGTAGGGAAAGTTCTAACAGAAGTTGAAACATGTTAATTTAATTTTTGTCAATTTGATTTTTTTTCAGTAATGGACTGCTTTGTGTCACAGATTTTGGAACCTTCACGAAAAGGAACAGCATGGCAACCTGAGAGACAATGTAATACAATCAGAAAACAAGATCAGCAAGAAAAAGCAGCCCTGGGCACAAGGTAAAAAACTCTTCAATTGTTTTTTCTTTTACAGTAATACAGTGTATTTACCAGTATGTGTGACACACCACATTTATTTGATTCAGGTGACTCCAACTTAATTATAAGCAAATTTTAGTATTTTTCTAACCTGTTTGCATCGCGGCAATTTATTTATCAGATAATTCTTGATTTTTTTATATAATATTACTATATACACACAAACATGTAGATTGACTGACTGACTAGGCTTATTGTTTGAATGTTTTTTTAACTGACAAACTGAAACTTTGATTATTTAACTGACTGGCTAACAGTTTAAATGGTTGGCTGATAATAAAATTCCCTCTTCCCTGGGACGGCAAAGGTGTGAAATGCCTGGGGTATGCCTGGGGGAGGGGAGTTGGGGGGGGAGGTTGAAGCTTAGATTTGACTCCTACAATGTAGATACATGTAAGTGAGATAAACAGTTTCCCCTTAAGCTAAAACTCTATTTCGTATTTTGATTCTTCGTTGAGAGAGTTTATAATGTCAGTTGTGCAACGTGCATAGAATGTGCTTAATATCAGTTGTGGAATGTGCGTGGATTTGGATTGCTACCACCCCAAATGTTTGGTTGCGATAACTTCTTTCCCTGCGAATATACTTTAGAAACTGAGTGTGAAATCCTCTTGGTTAATATCAACATACTGTACATGTAGTGGGGTGTAAGACCTTGTAAGTTTGTACCTTTTATAACCCGAATGAAGGAGACGCCATAAGTTTAGAAAACTTTGAGGGATCACCCAAACATATTGGTGGCAATACCTCATCACATAATTATCTGGATAGCAGGAGACATAAACTTCCCTGGATTTGACTGGAAGCACAGTTGCCTATTTCCACTGTGTCATTTCCCTGAGCCAACCTGAAAATTCTCCGTTTGTCTTAAAGAACATGGCTTTGTGTACATGTAACTTATAAGAAATCTTACGTGGGGGTAATTAATGTCTTAGACGTTTTTATAACTAACGACAGTCTTATCATTAAGACTCAAGTCATCCGAGGTATTAGTGATCATGATGCTGTGTTTGTTGAGGGTACACATGTATGAATATCAAAGCAACACCCAATAAACAAAAACGCAGGATGGTTCCTTTGTATAGAAAAACAGACTAGGAGGATGCGTTAAAGAACATATGTAGGCTCTGTCGTGCACTCTTCTGCCTGTGATCTGTCAATAAATGATTATTTGTAGTCTAGTTAATTCCTGGCCAATAGAGAATAATAATAATAAATGGAATTCGATGGGGTGTGAACCTTATCTTTTGCTGCTTGTTATGTGGACAATGATTTTCGTTCTTTTGCCCAAGAGGCCGTTGTCGCGCTGGAGGAAGTTACAAGGCGTTCTTCTGCAGAGACTGCTCCATGAGAAAATACAATAATATCTCCCCCTTCTGCCAGAAATACGCATAGACGAAATTTGTCACGTTTGCGGCGTGAAAATGCGATCTACCCCTTTGTGAAGTTGTCATGTTTTGTCCAAAATGCGGCGTAAGAAGAAGAGATTTTTTCACAAGCCCCGCTGCAGGAAAAAAAACATTTTTTACAAATTTAAGGTTATATTCTTGAGGTAATGTTGATTGAACAGGTTGTTGTGGTTTACAACGCTGTAAATGAATTTGCTGGTTCTGACCAAAAAATAGAATATACCGCCGGCAGCTTTTACTTTCCAATAACTGATTTTGTCACTTGTGGCGAAACATCCTAAAGGGAGTTTATTTGGCAATCTTTTCTGAAACACCACAACAAGCTAAATTGAAAAATATACATATTGCGTGACACATAACAAAAAATAGCAAAAAACCCTAACAAGGAGGCAGCTCTGGAGGCCAATTTTCCCATTTATCCTCTGGGACAGAGGTTCCAAATGCCGTTTCACCTCTGGCGGTGAGGGTTCCCATTTTACCTCTGGGACCGAGTTGTAGTTCGAGCACCTCCAGTACTTGCTGGGCCGGAGTTTGGGGTCCGTCAGCAAGCTCGACAGTCCCCCCCCGTAAGTTGTCCTACCGCACGGGTTAGTCAAGCAGGCTTCAGAGAGTTGGCCATCTCTCACCGCCCTATAACCCCACCGGTACATCCGCCATGGGATATATCCAACCTAACTTTGCCTTAGAAAATCGACCTATATATTTGGATCGAATACTCATTTCGCTCACTTATGGTACGGTTCTTCACAGACGCATGCGTTTTTGGCCCCCAAAAATTGTTTGGACTTTTCGTTGATTCATACACAACATCCCCGTTCAGTTCAGCCACGAAAAATATGGCCGTCATTTGTAAAAGTTGTTTCTCTTGAAAATCTCGGCTAGCCCAGCGTTCCACAAACTCTTGTTACGAAAACGTACCTTAGAGAGTTGCTCAATATGTTACATGTATAAGATTAAATTTGCTATTAACTGTGCATGCCATGGGAGACTTCGTAGCATGCATTTTCGACCCTCCGACGACTTAAGAAACATCTAGGAGAAACCATGAGCATGAATCAAGATCAACCTCTGCACGTCAAAACTTTGATAACGAAGGAACCGGAGACTGTTAAGGTTACAAGCAAACAAACAGGTTTTTTTTCCACACAACTATGCAAACGACATTCTGGCAAATTTGAGTAGAGGTATACGCTTGGCGTGGTATACGATAAGCCTCCCCCGCCGGCCCCCTACGTTTGAAAATGCTCCGCTGCCTCTTAACTGGGTCCTAAGAATCATTTGTATTCGTACACTAAAAGAAAAAACGTAAAAAGGTCTGGAGATTCAGTCGAGAACTGCCGATTCTTTGCGGCAGGCCTCTGGTGTCATCTTCAGGAGCGCTCAGCAATTTAATAGTCAAAGATTTCTCGTTGTAGAAATTGTACCTCGTAAAATTTCACTATCGAGAAGACCATGAAATAAATGGAGTTGTGTAAACCCGTCTAGCCAGATCATTTTGTTCTAAAGTTTAATTAGAGTTTTATAGTTATTTTTTCTCATTTAGAATCCCTGTTTCCTTCGCATTTATAATAGGAAGCTTGTTTCTTCACTAGCTATTGTTCAATAACACAAAAAGGCGGGAAAACAATCATTAGTGATTTATTTCCAGGATATACTCAGTTTTAATTATTTTTGAGGAAGAGGACACGTTTTTTGTGTCTATCAAAATCGAGTCTGATTTGAGGAGTTTCGAAAAAAATAAATTTGAATTTCGTTTTGTTTTTACAGTAAAATTGCCTGCAACTGCTGAAAAGAAGTTGACAGTGCGTCAATTTTACACGTATTTTTCGTTCCTTTTCCATGAGACAGAGAAAACAAAAAAGTTAGATAAGTCAGAAAATAGTGGACATTGCTTAATTATACGCAAAAGAATACCGGTAAAAGGCATCACAAACGTCTAATAACACATTCTTTTATGGAGAAACCGTTTTTAAGTTCAGAAAGAGCCCTTCGTTAAAGATCTTTTCCCGCTGTTACTATTATTTTTGTCGATTGGATGAAATAAGTCAAAGTCTTTTAGTTACACGTCTCTAAATGTGGCCCTTCGTTGTAGATATTTTACTGTAGTGTTTTCGTCGTTTTCGTTGTATTCTGCGGTTTAGTTATTTATGCTTTCTTCTTGCGCTTGTATGCAAACATCTTTCTTCTTGACTTCACAAAACCCAAAAGTTTGGGTGAACATTTCCTATAAGTATTGATTTTGTTAAAAATAACAATTGTTCGGACGAGACAGGAGAACAGTGCGCTGGGCACATGCCATCACAGTGAATTGCACATTGCAGTGGACAGATAGCAGGTGACTGTGTCAAAAAATTAGGAGGATAGCACTCTTGACAACAATGTTTTTGGCATGGTGGAAGGCAGCTGACAGAGCAACTGCTTGGATATGAGCTTGGCATCGGCGGAGACACATTACAACAAAAAATGGGCGCAATGGTAGGCAATTGGAACTACAAATAGTTGAACACGATTCTTGTATTGATTGCGAATGTTCCATAGTAGAAATGTGTTGAGACGCACAGCAGTGTGTGGGACAAGACGATTGGCATGTTTCCTGGCAATGATGCGGACAGGTTGTGGGCAGAACAAATTTGAATTTGCAGTAAAATTGGGGACACGTAGGACGACAATAGGCCATTTATACGAGGAAAAATAAGACGCGTCTTAAATATACATGTATGACGCAAACTTTCTGTATAAACAGCACATTTGTCTAAAATAAGACGAGACTTAGCTAAGACGCGTCTTGTTTTAGAACAGCCCTTAAAGGAGCTGTGTCACGAAATTTAGCCAAATTAGGAAATTACAAAATGCCCGTAAAATTAAGAGAAACATAAAAATAACCACTTAAAACTTTAAAGCAAAGGTTAGAATAGCATAAAAGAAACAACAGATGCCACGGATGAGCAAAACTGAAGAAGATTGAAACGGATTGAAATTAGGGTTTTTGAAAACTGTTCAGCCTAACAGTTTTTCAAAGTTGATCCCTCCTGCTTGCAACTTCAGTAATAATGCACAGGAGACATATTTGTTTGTCTCGGATCTCTGATCTTGTCATTTACATCTAATTTCTTTGCTTACTTTAAGTTCCATAGCGATTGAGGGCGAGCGATTGGCAAGATTAAAGAAAACAAACTGGACTGCCGTGACACAGCCCCTTTAACACCTGTTCTTAAATGAGACGTGTATTAGCTAAGACGAGAAAAACTTCGTATAAATGACCTTCGTGTCTTACATAATCATGAATGCATAGTAGGCATGCGTTAATTTTTGGTGGGAAATCATGTCACACCTAGAACATTACAATCTTCTCTATCATTCGCGGCATGGTTTTCACACATTCAAGTCATCTGAATTACAACTTATTGAGTTGGTAAGTGATATTGTCCACAACTCACATGCTAAGCAGACTGATGTCATCATATCGGACTTTTCTAAGACGATAGGGTCTTCGACCATACCCCTAACCGTACACCATCTATGTATCCCACCCATTTCAATTACAACTGCTGGTATCGCTAAGCTATTATAGACAACCTAACGCCACACAAGGCCACTGTGCCTGATGGTCTTTCTCCCATAATCCTCTGGGAGCTCTCTCCTTAGTAATTCATGTAGATAATCCCTATCATCTCACCAAATACCAGAGGACTGGAAAAAAGCCTTGGTAATACCCATCTTTAAGAAAGGTGATAGGGACAGTCCGGCAAACTACAGACATTTCCCTGTATCTGCAGTAAATTGCTAGAGCACATCATCACTAAGGGTATCATGTCACACCTACATCATTACAATCTCCTCTATCGTTTGTGGCCTGCTTTTCACAGATTCATTTCATGTCAATCGCAGCTAATTGAGTCGACAACTCATGTGCTATGAAAGCAGACTGATGTCATCATATTGGACTTTTCTAACACCTTTAATTAGGTTCCTCATAACAGACTTCTTCTTATAAACTGGAGAATTATGGTATTAAAGGCGAGACTCTGAGGTGGATTAAAGCCTTCCTTAAAAAACCGCAACAATCTGTGGTGGTGGATGACGAGAGGTCTGTCTTTCAAGCATACGTTAACAATCTCCTGCGGAACATAAGATCAAGGGTTCACCTATTTGTTGACTATACCATTCTGTAATTGACTATCATAAGTGAAGATCACTGCAGACAGCTCCAGGATGACCTTGATGTGCTACAAAAATGGGAGGTAACTTGAAGGATGGAGTTTAACAACCCTTAGTGTGTGGTGTTACATACTTATTACCTGCATGGCACTGCACTAAGGGAGGTTGATCACGGTTGATCACATGGAATACCTACAATAGGTATATGGTTGTCAAATGATCCCAAGTGGAATTGGCACATTGACAAGATAACAGCCAAAAGAAGGCAAAACGCATACTTGGATTCCTTAAAACAAATTTACGGGTAAATTTGTCAACTTTAAAAGCCAAAGCTTCTGCAGGCTTAGTCCACCCCTAGGTTGAGTGCTGCTCAAGTGTTGTGACCCTGCCCAGGTGTTGAGAATAACAGTTCATATAAGATCAAAACAATACAGTGCCATGTGGCTTGATGGTGGCTACACTGATGCTGGAGCAACAACACTGTCCAGTGTTATCAACATGCTTGAAGACCTGGGATGGCGTACCCTAGGAAACATCATGGCCCTCTTTAAAATCAACCGGGGGCTTCCTCTCTCTTACATGGAACTCTCACGGGCTTCTGTCCCCTGTCATGCACAAGACATGTTGCTCACACTCGCAAAGTTTCATTCCATTTCGAACGATTTGCCTGCTTCTCAATCTGTCTTTAGCAAACTCAGCGCTTTAGATACTTTCAAAGCCCTTGTAAGCTGCCTAAAAATCATCTACCTGTTTATTAGCCCATTAAGTTAATTTTTTTTCTTTTTCTTTTGTTTTGTTTTGTTTTGTTTTTTTAACCAAACCAGCCAATAATCCTCAGATGTGAGGACTAGGCTGGTATACAGTAAATGTAAAATTTAAATTAATGATCACACAGCACGCAAGGGTGCATGAGAAACATGAGTTGGCTTTGGTAGATAGTTGCAGTAACATCATTGATTGTTATGTCGAGTCACATTGAGGTTTCCAAACAACATAACTAGGATCATCCCCAGTGTAATATAATTTATTTGCTTTCTTTGTCGTATGGACTATTGTCAGGGTTAGGTTCTAATTTGTTAAGGATGTTTTGTTTTCTTTGTTCCTGTCAGCTGGGAGTAATAAATTATATTATACCAGAGATCTTGTGAGCCCATAACTTCCACTGGGTACAATGAAAGGCTGCAATAGTGGTTATTTCCTCTGGAAAAAAAAAAAAAAAGGTTAAAGTGTTTACAGTTGGTGAAATGGCAACCAATTCTCCTCATGCAAATGTAGGGAACTGCAACTCTAAAACGCTATCAAAAACAGGCTTTGCATCAGTGTGGAAGACATCTGCTGTCAGCCTTAATCTATTCTTCAAATGCAATGAAATGTGTTAAAGTAGGGAAAGTTCTTACAGAAGTTGAAACATGTTAATTTAATTTTTGTCAATCCGCTTTTCTTTCAGTAATGGACTGCTTTGTGTCACAGATTTTGGAATCTTGATGAAGAGGAATAGCATGGCAACCTGAGAGACAATATAATACAATCAGAAAACAAGATCAGCAAGAAAAAGCAGCCCTGGGCACAAGGTAAAAAACTATTCAATTGTTTTTTCTTTTACAGTAATACAGTGTATTTACCAGTATGTTTGACATACCATATTTAGTTGATTCAGGTGACTCCAAGTTAATTATAAGCAAATTTTAGTATTTTTCTAACCTGTTTGCGTCGCATCAATTTATTTATCAGATAATTCTTGATTTTTTATAGAATATTATTATATACCTACAAACGTGTAGATTGATTAACTGACTAGGCTAATTGTTTGAGTGGTTTTTTAACTGAGAAACTGACACTTTGATTATTTACATGTAACTGACTGGCTAACAGTTTAAATGGTTGACTTATGATTAAAATTAATTCCGTCCTCTCCGGGACAGCAAAGGTGTCAAATGCCTGGGGTATGCCTTGGGAAGGGGGGTGGGGATGGGGGGAGGTTGAAGCTTAGATTTGACTGATACAATGTACATACATGTACATGTAACTGGGATTAACAGTTTCCCCTTAACCTAAAACTCTATTTCGGATTTTGATTTCTCATGGAGAGAGTTTATAATGTCAGTAGTAGAATGTGCGTAGAGGGTGCTTAATGTCAGTTGTGCAATGTGCGTCGATTTGGATTGCTACCACCCCAAATGTTTGGTTACTATAACTTCTTTCCCTGGGAATATACTTTAGAGACTGAGTGTGAAGTCCTCTGGGTTAATATCAACATACAGTACATGTAGTGGGGTGTAAGACCTTGTAAGTTTGTGCCTTTTATAACCCGAATGAAGGAGACGCCTTAAGTTTAGAAAACTTTAAGAGATCACTCCAACAGATTGGTGGCTATATACCTCATCACATAATTATCTGGATAGCAAGAGACATAAACTTCCCTGGATTTGACTGGAAGCACAATTGCCTATTTCCAATGTGTCGTTTCCCTGAGCTAACCTGAAAAATAAAATCTGCTGATTGTCTTGATGATCATGGCTTAGTCTAACTTATAACCAATCTTTTGTGGGGGTAATTAATGTCTTAGACTTGTTTATAACTAACGACAGTCTGATCATCAAGACTCAAGTCATCCGAGGTATTAGTGATCATGATGCTGTGTTTTTTGAGGGTATAAATATCAATAAGCAATACTCAACAAACAAAAATGCAAGATGGTTGTCTTGTACAGAAAAACAGACTACGATGCCTTAAAGACCACATGAAGACTCTGTCATGCATTGTACTGCCTGTGATCAGTCATTGTGGTCTAGTTTTCGAGAGAAATTGACTTCTTGTATCAAGCAATTTATACCACATACAAGCACAAGAAAATCTGTGTGATAGGGTCTTGGACAATACCCCTAACCATACGCCATCTATGTATGCCACCCATTTCAATGACAACTGCTGGTATCGCTAAGCTATTATAGACAACCTAAAGCCACACAAGGCCACTGGGCCTGATGGTAGTTCTCTAATAGTCCCCTGGGAGCTCTCTCCTTAGTAATAGATAATCGCTATGATCTCAACAAGTACCAGAGGACTGGAAAAAAGCCTTGGTAACACCCATCTTTAAGAGAGGTGATAGAGACAGTCTGGCAAACTGCAGACATTTCCCTGTATCTGCAGTAAATTATTCATTTTGTTTGTTTTATGGACTATTGTGAGGGTTAGGTTCATTGTTAAGGATGTTTTGTTTTCTTTGATTAAGTCAGCTGGGAGTAATAAATTATATTACAACAGAGATCTTTTGTGCCCCTAATTTCCACTGGGTACAATGAAAGGCTGATAGTGTTTATTTTCTCCGTGAAAAAAAAAATGTTTAGTTTGTTTACAGTGGGTGAAATGGCAACCAATTCTCCTCATGCAAATGCATGAAACTGCAACTCTACAACGCTGTCAAAAACAGACTTTGCATCAGTGTGCAAGAGTTCTGCTGTTAGCCTTAATCTATTCTTCAAATGTAATGAAATGTGTTAAAGTAGGGAACGTTCTAACAGAAGTTGAAACATGTTAATTTAATTTTTGTCAATCTTATTTTTTTTCAGTAACGGACTGCTTTGTGTCCCGGTTTTTATAAATCTTCATGAAGAGGAATAGCATGGCAACCTGAGAGACAATGTAATACAATCAGAAGAAAAGATCAACAAGAAAAAGCAGCCCTCGGCACAAGGTAAAAAACTCTTCAATTGTTTTTTTGTTTTACAGTAATACAGTGTATTTACCAGTATGTGCGACATACCATATTTAGTTGATTCAGGTGACCCCAAGTTAATGATAAGCAAATTTTAGTATTTTTCTAACCTGTTTGTGTCGCGTCAATTTATTTACCAGGTAATTCTTGATTTTTTATATATTATTATATACACACAAACATGTACATTGATTAACTGACTAAGTTGATTGTTTGAATGGTTTTTTTAACTGACAAACTGACACTTTGATTATTTACATGTAACTGACTGGCTAACAGTTCAAATGGTTGACTGATAATCAAATTCCTTCCTCCTGGGACAGCAAAGGTGTCAAATGCCTGGGGTATGCCTTAAGGGGAGGGGGGGGGGGGAAGGAAGCTTAGATTCGACTGATACAAAGCAGATACATGTAACTGGGATAAAAAGTTTCCCCTTAAGCTAAAACTCTATTTCGGATTTTGATTTTTTTTTTGAGGGGGTTTGTAATGTACGTTTTCGAATTGGCGAGGAATGTTCCTAGGGTCAGTGGGGGAATGGTCATG